TATATATATATATATATATATATATATATATATATATATATATATATATATATTTCCCGCTACTGAGAATACACTCAATCTCTGGCCATTTTCATTTCCTTTGGAAGTTCAAACATAGGTTCTCAGTTCCTTCAACTAAGATTTTCTCCCTCCTCTCTCTGTAAACTTATCCTAAGCATATCTCATTCATTCGTGAGGCTTTATATATCATGGTAACTGCCATAATTACATCTCTGGATCAGAATTCTAAGCTCCAGACACAAATGTGCAGCCAGCCTCTTGACAAGTCCACTTAGTTGTCCCCAAAACAATTTAACACTCATCTTAAACCAAAACCTCGATTTTTCTCCTTCAGAATTAATTGCTGCTCCTCCTGTCTGTGAATTCTCAGTAAATGGCACTAGCAATTCCCTAGCAGCTTCAAGCCCAAAATCCAGAAGTCACATTCTGCACAACCCTCCACCAAAACTTGTCAATAGTCTCTATAACTTGACTCAAATGATCTCATTGGGCCCCCCATCTCCACTGCCAGTGCTTTACATAAAGCCACCATCCTCCTAAGCCTTCATTACCTCCATAGGCTGCCACAAGTTTTCTTCACTCTCTATAGTATGAGCAGCAATTATGATCTTTGTAAAACACAGATTGGTTCACATTACTGTTTGCTCAAAATCTTTCAATAGACTGAGAGACTGTCTTCTCCACAGATGGCCACAATAACTCCCTCCCACAGGCTCATATGACCATATGTGCTATGTCTAAATGTGTCCCACAGATTTGTGTGTTGGAAACTTGATCCCCAGTGAGCACTGTTGGAAGGTGGGGACTTTCGGGAGGTGTTTTGGTTATGAGGACTCCACCCTCATGAATGGATTAATGCTGCTTTAAAAAGGGCTTGTGGGAATGGGTTGCTCTTTCTTTCCCTCCCTCCTCTTTCACCATGTGAGGACCCAGCAAGTAGATATCTCATTAGATGCTGGTCCCTTGATCTTGGACTCCCCAAACTCCAGAACTGTGAGATAATAGATTTGTTCTTTATAAATTACCGTCTCAGGCATTCTGTTATAGCAGCACATGTGAACTAAGACATGTCACTCTGATTCTTCTCCATCAAAAGGCAGAGTATAACTTCCCTCCCTTGACCCTGGTCTAGCCTTATTACTCACTTCCAATAGAAAGCAGTGAAAGTGATATCATGTGACTTCAAAGGCTATGTCAAAAAGAGCCATGAAGCTACCATTTGTTTTCTTTGAGGCACTTGCTTTGGGAGAAGCTAACTGGCACATCAAAGTTGAGCTATCCTGAGACTACTGTTTTGCAAAGGTCACACAGAGGAACTCCAATCAACAGCCTTGGCTGAACTCCCAGGACCAACTGCAGGCCATGATTGACACATCTCAACCCTCCAGGTCAGTCATGACTTCAAACGACCATAGCCCCAGCCAACACCTGGCCATAATCACATAAGATACTCTGAGAACCCCCCAAACAGCCCCTTCCTTAACTACTGAACCACAACATTTTACCAGAAACAACATGGTTGTTCTTATACCACTAAATTGAGAGGTAATTTGTTATACAGCATTAGTGGCTAGTTCAGCTTCCCATCATCCTCAGGATAAATTCAAAAGTATTTCTGGAACCTACAGGGCCCTGCATAATCTGGCTCCTGGCGATTCCCTCAGCCTTTCTTTGTGCCTTGGTTGCCAAGCTTTAAACACACTGACCCTTGCTTCTTCCTCATGAAGAATTTTGCCAAGGCTATGATTTTCCCATCCTGGAATGCACCCTTCACCTGGCTAACACCAACTCAGTCCTCAGGTCTTAAGTGCCATTTCTTTCAGAAAGCTAAAAGGATCCATGTCATGGAGGAAAAGCTTGGGTGGTAGTTGTTATTTTTAAGATGGAAGAAAGAAGCTGGCAAGATGACCAAATAGGAGGAGCTCTGGTCTGCAGCTCCCAGGAAGATCAACGCAGAAGGTCAGTGATTTCTGCATTTCCAACTGAGGTACCCAGCTCATCTCATTGGGACTGGTTAGACAGTAGTGCAGCACATGGAGGGCGACCAAAGCAGGGTGGGGTGCTGCCTCACTTGGCAAGTGCAAAGGGTTGGGGAACTCCTTACCCTAGCAAAGGGAAGCCATGAGGGACTGTGCCATGAGAAACAGTGCATTCCAGCCCAGATACTATGCTTTTCCCACACTCTCTGCAACCCACAGACCAGGAGATTGCCTGGGGTGAATTCACCACACGGGCGCTGGGTTTCAAGCACAAAACTGGGTGGCCGTTTGGGCAGACACCAAGCTAGCTGCAGAAGCTTCTTTCTCATACTCCAGTGGCACTTGGAACGACAGAAAGACAGAACCATTCACTTCCCTACAAAGGGAGCTGAAGCCAGGGAGCCAAGCGGTCTAGCTCAGCAGGCTACACACCCACAGAGCCCAGCGAGCTAAGATTTACTAGCTTGACATTCTTGCTGCCAGCACAGTAGTCGAAGGCAACCTGCGATAATCGAGCTTGGTGGGGGGAGGGGCATCTGCTATTACTGAGGCTTGAGTAAGCAGTTTTCTCCTCACAGTGTAAAAAAAAAAAAAAAAAATGTCACCAGGAAGTTCAAACTGCTGTACCCAGCAAAGCTGCTATATCCAGACTGCCTCTCTAGATTCCTCCTCTCTGGGCAGGGCATCTCTGAAAGAAAGGCAACAGCCTCAGTCAGGGGCTTATAGATCAAACCCCCATCTCCCTAGACAGAGCACCTGGGGGAAGGGGCTGCTGTGGTCGCAGCTTCAGCAGATTTGAAGGTTCCTGCCTGCCAGCTCTGAAGAGAGAAGCAGATCTCCCAGCACAGCAATCAAGCTCTGCTAAAGGACAGACTGCCTCCTCAGGTGGGTCCCTGACCCCCATGCCTACTGACTGGCAGACACCTCCCAGCAGGGGTTGACAGACACCTCATACAGAAAAGCTGTGACTGGCATTTGGTAGGTGTCCCTCTGGGACAAAGCTTCCAAAGGAAGGAATAGGCAAGCAATCTTTGCTGTTCTGCAGCCTTTGCTGGTGACATCCAAGCAAACAGGGTCTAGAGTAGACCTCCAGCAAACTCCAGCTGACCTGCAGCAGAGGACCCTGACAGACAGAAAACTAGCAGAATGGAGTAACATCAACATCAACAAAAAGTATGTCCACCAGGGAAAATGTGGCATATATACACCATGGAATACTATGCAGCCGTAAAGAATGTTGAGTTCGTGTCCTTTGTAGGGGCATGGATGAACCTGGAAACTATCATTCACAGCAAACTGACACAAGAACAGAAAATCAAACACTGCATGTTCTCACTCATAGGCGGGTGTTGAACAATGAGAATACATGGACACAGGGAGGGGAGCATCACACAACAGGGTCTGTTGGGGGGGACTAGGGGAGGGACAGTGGGGGGTAGGGAGTTGGGGAAGGATAACATGGGGAGAAATGCCAGATATAGGTGATGGGGATGGAAGCAGCAAACCACATTGCTATGTATGTACCTATGCAACAATCCTGCATGATCTGCACATGTACCCCAGAACCTAAAATGCAGTAAAATTTATATATATATACACATGTATATATATTATATATAAAAATGTATATATAAATGTATATATATTTATATATTATATATATATAAAGTATGTCCACACGAAAACTCCATCCAAAGGTCACCAACATCAAAGACTAAAGTTAGATAAACCCACGAAGAAGAAAACCAGTGCAAAAAGGCTAAAAATTCCAAAAACCAGGACGTCTCTTCTCCTCCAAAGGATGACAACTCTACGCCAGCAAGGGAACAAAACTGGATGAAGAATGAGTTTAATGAACTGAAAGAAGGGGGCTTCAGAAGGTGGGTAATAACAAACAACTCTGAGTTAAAGGGGCATGTTCTAACCCAATGTAAGGAAGCTAAGAACCTTGAAAAATGGTTAGAGGAACTGCTAACTAGAATAACCAGTTTAGAGAAGAATAAATGACCTCAGGCAGCCAAAAAACATGGCACGAGAACTTCTTGAAAAAACAAGCAAGTATCCATAGCTGACTTGACCAAGCGGAAGAAAGGATATCAGAGACTGAAGATCAACTCAATGAAATAAAGTCTGAAGACAAGACTAGAGAAAAAAGTATTAAAAGGAATGAACAAAGCCTCCAAGAAATATGGTACTATGTGAATGGACCAAAGCTATGTTTGATATGTGGACCTGAAAGTGAGAGGGAGAATGGAACCAAGTTGGAAAACACTCTTCAGGATGTTATCCAAGAGAACTTCCCCAACCTAGCAAGGCAGGCCAACAATCCAATTCAGGAAATACAGAGAACATCACAAAGATACTCCTCAAGAAAAGCAACCCAGGACACAAAATGATCAGGTTCACCAAGGTTGAAATGAAGGAAAAAATGTTAAGGGCAGCCAGAGAGAAACACTGGGTTACCCTAAAGGGAAGCCCATCAGACTAACAGTGGATTTCTCAGCAGAAACTCTACATGCCAGAAGAGAGTGGGGGCCAATATTCAACATTCTTAAAAGAATTTTCAACCCAGAATTTCATATCCAGCCAAACTAAGCTTCATAAATGAAGGAGAAATAAACTCCTTTACAAATAAGCAAATGCTGAGAAATTTTAGCACCACCAGGC